CAGCCTGCCTTGTCTTTATCCATCTCCTGTGGTCCTGGAGCTCATAACCCCCTGGGTAAGTTTTTGCTGCAACCCCTAGGAGATCAATGCAGCAGCCCACTGGGTGGCCAGCAATTTGTTTGTAGGATCTTTTGGCATGCAGAGTGTGCTTCCTCATACAAAACAAACACATAAATAGTGGCAAAGTTTCCAGGCTAGCCCACAAAAGTTGACTTACCTCCTAGTGGATCAAAAAAACATCTCAGTACTATTGAGGTGCTCGCCAGGACCCCAGATGAGCCCTAAATGGGTCTTTAGCCTGAAAAAAAAGTACCTTAAGGGTGACAAGGTTATAAAGTGTGGTTATTTCTAAGAATAGCCCTAGCTGGCACTCTACTGTGCAATGTATTTGAATTAGAACTCTGCCTGACATAGCAGGTATATAGTAAAACCTGTGCAAACTAATGTGGTTGGGTTCCAAGGCTATTCCATGAAAAGTATACTTATGCAGAATGCACTTGAAGTAAGAGAATACAGCAGGGTTGTTTTGCTTCAAAGGCTGCACATAGCATTCTATCTACGCTCTATCCTGGTGCGCCTGAGCTATGGCGCTGGGAAAAGTGGTGGTTTGTAGCCAAGGCCAGCCCCTCAAAAAGTTACATAGTCTTCCTGCAAATTGATAGGATTATGAATATGGATTAAGTTTCCAGTCTTGTCTCCAAACCTAATTAACCTGTTAGGTATGAGAAATATGAACAGCATTGCATTCACTACGCATAAATATCCTTTATGAAGCTAATTTTAAAGATATACGTCTTCTGTGTTTCTGTACGGTGTGCTGAAAGTGCATGGGCAGGTATGCACGCACATGCACTCACACACACACACACACACTCACGCTCATACACACACCATCACCCTTGCTCTGAAGGTGTCAGCATCCACAGACACCCAAGGACATGGCTTGGAGCTTGACTATAGATTCATTGACTGTATAGCTCATCTCTCTCTGTTTTTTATAAATATACATCATATTTTTTACTTGAAGTGCAGTTGATGTACAATATTACATAAATTACAGTTATACAGTGTAATAATTCATGATTTTAAAGGTTATACTCCAGTCATAGTTATTATGAAATATTGGCTAAATTCCCTGTGTTGTACAATATATCCTTATTTTATTTTTTAATTGGAGGATAATTGCTTTGCAGTGTTGTTTTGGTTTCTGCTATACAACAACGCAGATCAGCCACGATTATATAGATACAGATACAGATATAAATATAGATAATAGATCCCCTCTCTCGACCCTCCCTCCTCTCTCCCACCCTCCCCCACCCAGATCATCACAGAACACCAGGCTGGGCTCCCTGTGTTATGTAGCAGCTTCCCACCAGCTCTCTATTTTACACATAATAGTGTGTCTATATCAATGTTACTGTTTCAATTCATCCTACGCTTTTCCTCTGTTCTGTCCACAAGTCCATTCTCTACATCTGCATCTCCACTACTTCCTTGCAGATAGGTTCATCAGTACCGTCTTTGTAGATTCCATATATACACCTTAATATACGACATTTATTTTTCTCTCTGTGACTTACTTCACTCTCCATAACAGGTTCTAGGTTCGTCCACTTCACTGCAACTAACTCAAATTTGTTTTTTTATGGCTGAGTAATATTCTAATTATATATAAGTACCACATCTTTATTCTATGGGTTTTAAAACAACCTTTCTTTGATTTTCCGTCTGCAGAAACAATGGTGGACAGTTCTGGGAGAGAAAGAAAACTTAAATATCAGGTTTCTGGACCGTATCCCAGAGAGTCTTATTCAGTAGTTTTTTTTATAGTGGAACCAGAGACCCATATTTAGAACAAGCCCTGCAGGGCATGCTGAGCTAGGGAGCAAGCAAAGCTGGATCAGCTCAATAAGGTGAGTATGTGATGGAAAGAGAGCTGCTTTCCAGGAGCTGGGTGTTGCTGAGTGGTTTAAGAGTGGCTGAAGGTAGTGGTGGTGCTGTGTCCACGCATGGGGAGAAGATGCTCTAATGGTGTCTGGATCAGCCAGGGAGGCAGGGGTGGCTGACACCTTGAAAAGCCCATGCGCACCGTGCTGGGGGCACGCTAGGTCGCTCGGCGCCCTCCCTGTAGAGCCAGTCCTGGTGGCCTTGGCCCCTAACGGAGCCCTGCTCCTGCTGGGCAGAGATCAACATGCTGGACAAGGAAGGACTCAGCCTTGAACTCCAACTTGTGTAAAGTCCCAGCTCCACCACTTACCACCTCCAAGGCTTCGGGCAAATAACACAGCTTCCCTGATCTGTAGAAGCACAACAGCATCTGAGTGAAGTTGAAACTTAATAATGTGGGTAGCAAAGCTATTAGACTAGGTGGCTCCAAATGTTTCCTTCCCTCCTCTCTCCTTGCCCAGGGGGTAAGAAAGTCTTCTGAGGACTGATTTGAAGGCCTTCTCTCCCTCTTCATCCTCCCACTGAAAGTTCAAGGATGATAGTATTTATTTCTTTGTTCAGAGAATGTAAGCCAAAGTCCGGGCTGGCATCAATAATTTTATCAACAAGTCACATAATGTGTATTTGTGGTACACAGTTTATAGCCTCCCACTAACATCAAAATTTACCCACTTGACTCCCTCCCCTGTGCTGAGGGCTCAAGATGGACATTTAAGCTAGGTTTAAATCACCTCTATGTAAAAACATCACTTAGAAAGAGACAGGACACCTCTCTCCAATGAGCCCATGTAAATGTTAGAAATAATAAAACTGAACTTTAGATCAGCAAAGCAGAATTTGCTGGGGGTGCTGAGGGTGGACTGGTGGGTGTGCTATCCTTCCTTAAAGAAGAAAAATGGAATTGGAATTGTGTCGGTACAGGGCACTGTGCAAAGCACTTCTAAGCCTGTATCTATAGTATGTATGAGAAATGAAAGTGTTAGTCGCTCAGTCATATCCGACTCTTTGCGACCCCATGGACTGTAGCCCAGCAGGCTCCTCTGTCCATGGGATTTCCCAGGTAAGAATACTGGAGTGAGCAGCCATTCCCTTTTCCAGAGGATCTTTCCAACTCAGGGATCAAACTCCAGTCTCCTGCATTGCAGGCATATGTTTTTACTGTCTGAGCCACCGCATTGTCTCCAATTTAAAGTCAGGTCACAATGGTAGAGTAGACTGCCTGATCCTGAACTCCAGTGAGTGTTCACAGCAGGATATAAGGTGTCAATTTTAGCATCTGTGGTCTGGCCTGCAAATACTTAGAGTTCACTGTACTCTGTAACTGTGACCTAGACTTCTGCACATACTTCTGGCTTCTCTGAACTTGGAGGAAGAACCTTCAAGACTGTCAGCCCCATTGAGGCAACCTGCTCTAACCCACTGGTATGCTTGCAAGCTGGCTTTCCAAAGAAGAAAAAAAAAAATCTAAATAGCTTCATTTATATCATCTGCCTATATCTGTGTAAGCTACTTATATATATATAATTTATAATTATATATAAATATATATATTATATATGCTATGTTTATAGCATTTGCAACTGTTAGAACTAGACATGGAACAACATACTGGTTCCAAATCAGGAAAGGATTATGTCAAGGCTGTATATTGTCACCCTGCTTATTTAACTTATATGCAGAGTACATGTGAAATGCCGGGTTGGATGAAACACAAGCTGGAATCAAGATTGCCGGGAGACATATCAGTAACCTCAGATATGCAGATGATAACACCCTTATAGCCAAAAGCGAAGAAGAACTAAAGAGCCTCTTGATGAAAGTGAAAGAGGAGAGTGAAAAAGTTGGCTTGAAACTCAACATTCAGAAAACTGAGATCATGGCATCCAGTCCCATCACTTCATGGCAAATAGATGAGGAAATAATGGAAAGAGTGAGAGATTTTATTTTTATGGGCTCCAAAAGCACTGCACGTGATGACTGCAGCCATGAAATTAAAAGACACTTGCTCCTTGGAAGAAAAGCTACAACCAACCTAGACAACATATTCAAAAACAGAGATTTGACTTTACCGACAAAGGTTCATCTTCTAGTCAAGGTTATGGTTTTTCCAGCAGTCATGTATGGATGTGAGAGTTGGCCTATAAATAAAGCTGAGTGCCAAAGAACTGATGCTTTTGAGCTGTGGTGTTGGAGAAGACTCTTGAGAGTCCTTGAACTGCAAGGAGATCAAACTGGTCCATAGTAAAGGAGATCAGTCCTGGGTGTTCATTGGAAGGACTGATGCTGAAGCTGAAACTCCAATACTTTGGCCACCTGATGTGAAGAACCAACTCATTGGAAAAGACCCTGATGCTGGGAAAGACTGAAGGCGCGAGAAGAAGGGGATGAGAAAGGATGAGATGGTTGGATGGCATCACCAACACGGTGGACATGAGTTTGAGTGGGCTCCGAGAGTCAGTGATGGACAGGAAGCCTGGCGTGCTGCAGTCCATGGGGTCGCAAAGAGTCAGACATGACTGAGCAACTGAACTGAACTGAATACCTATGGTGTACATTGGGCTTCCCTGTGGCTCAGCTGGTAAAGAATCCGCCTGCAATGCGGGAGACTTGGGTTCGATCCCTGAGTTGGGAAGATCCCCTGGAGAAGGGAAAGGCTACCCACTCCAGTATTCTGGCATGGAGAATTCTGTGGATGTCCATGGGGTTGCAAAGAGTGGGACACAACTGAGTGACTTTCACTTCGGTGGACATTCTCCTATCATGTCCGGTTTCAAGTCCTAGATTTGGCAACTGCCAAGCTGCATCCCTGAATATTTATCAGTTATCTCTCTTGATTCAGCTGGAGCCGGTTCCAACTGGCACTGCTCCAATCCTGTGACCAGCCGAGATGTACCTGCAGCGTCTCTGCACGTGCGCATGCTCAGTCGCTCAGTCGTGTCCGACTCTTTGCGACCTGTGGACACTACCCCGCCAGGCTCCTCTGTCCATGGAATTTTCCTGGCAGGAATCCTGGAGTGGGTTTCTATTTCCTCCTCCAGGGGATTGTGTTGACCCACAGATGGAACCCACTTCTCCTGCATCTACTGCATTGCAGGCAGATTTTTTACTGCAGATCCACCCTGTAAGCCCTGATATACCTCCTAGGGATTGCTATCTCATTTTTTCTGTGTATTTCACAGTTCGGCCCATATAGAAAATATAGAAACTAGGTACATGTGTTGCTTAAAGAATGAACACACAGTTGAATGATACAGGAATAGTCAAAACTGGACAGGAGGGGAGGAAATACTGCCTTCAGCCCTGAATCAAGAAGGACACAGCATCCTCTTACTAGGAAGTTCTGTGTGTTGTACAGAATATCTGTACTTCTCTGTGGCAATGAAATGACCTGTTGAAGAAATTCTTCCTGGAAGTAGAGTTTGGGTATAGTCTTCAAAACCCTATTCCTCCCTTCCTCTTTCTGATCCATCACAAACCAGGAGCTCTGACTTCAGATGTGCTTTCCGTTTGGTGACTTTTCTTCATCCCCAGCGCTGCCCCCACAGTCAAGTCATTACTTACAACCTCTTACTCCTCACCACCCTCTGGTCATGACGCCTCTGTCCCCTAGCAGCCAGACTGAGCCGCATAACCCGTAACTGCATCACATCCTTTCCTTCTCAGCACCTGTTAGTGGTTCTCCTGCTCCTCCTGGTTAAGAGCAAACTTCCTTGCATGTCCCTGCCCACCTGTCCATCCTCATCCCACGTCCTCATCACTGTTTCCACTGCATTCCACCCTGGAACCTCCATTGTGCTGCTCAGAACACCCTTCCTCCCTACCCTCATCAGGACCGGACTTAACCGCCCCTTTCTCAAAGAGATTCCTCATCCCACTGTGTTCCTCTCCACTCTAGCATGAATCAGCATGCACATGCTATGTCTACATCTATGAGTACCAACCCTCCGCAGACTGAGAAATTCACAGGAGCGGAGGCCACGTCTGTTTCTGTGTTGGCTCCCTCTGTCCCACAGGGCTGGAGAGGCTGCTGTGTCGGTGTGGGAGGACTCTCTCGTGAGTGAGAAGGCTGCCACCTGGGAGGTAACGTGACAGAGTTTTGAGGGCTTCACTGTGGGATCAGCCATCATCAGTTTAAGTTTTATTAGCTCTATGATCTTAGGAACGCAGTTGCTTTCAACTATGCATTCATGGTTGTTTTTTCCTCTGCGAGATGGTATAGAAATAGTAACTCCATCACAGAATGTTAGAAGGATTAAATGAAATAACTCCATGTAAACCTCTTAGTCTAGGACTGTGCCTAGCCACGGCAGCTGTTATTATTTTACTAGAAGACAAAGTGATACATCAGCTGAAGCTCATGGTCACCTTCTTCTCTTCACCAAGGAGATAATGCTTAGATTTTGTTTTCCCTACTTGGAAAGTTCCCACGAAAGCGGCTCCTCCTCTCCAAGTCATTGGTTAGAAGCTCTTCCATTCACTCATTTATTCATTTGTTCATTAACCACATATTAGTTTAGCAATTACTCAGTACCAGGTCCAGTGGTAGATAGTATAAGACAATGTCCATGTCCATGAAGAAGGTGAAATTTCGTGGGAGGAGATAGCAGGTTTGCACTCATCTCTCTTAGTTATAGGATTTTCCTAGAAAACCTTGCAAATAGCCGATTGGAGGGTTAGTCTGTAAAAACAAGAGACTTTGGCTATATCCTGTCTTTTGTAGTTGGAAATATCCAGGAAGGGAGAGAAGGAAAGAAGAGGGGAAAAGTCTATCCCCCACATTAGAATTGAAGTAGTACCAACCAAGGCATCATTATGCCCATGTTATTATTTGAGGAAACAGATAGTACAAAGACAAAGTGAGCATCCCAAAGTCATGTAGCCAGAAACTGGCAAATCTGGGAATGTGGCTTCTGCTGACTTGTGCAGTGGTATTCTCCATTCTTGGAGCTGCTGACTCCTGGAAAACCAAGAAGAAAGCAGCATTGCTAATGCTGGCCCTGGTTGACGATTGAAGTAGAAGAAGAAATTCATAGTTATGATTCCCAGGGCTGTTGTTACTTCTGCTCTAAGCATACCTACCTCCTAATCTCAATTCTGATACACTTACACATATATTCACATCCTTGCCTATATACATAGGTTTCTATAAAATTGAGTAGGGTTTCTATTTTAGCTCTTTAGGATACTCAGATATGGGCATTTTATAAATAAATATGCGCTAATGTTGTTACTATTATTGCGGTCCCATAAATTCAGTGACACGTGCCGGAAGTTGCAGGTGTGTATATCACCTGAATTACAGTTACTTAGGGAACCACTGCTACTGTGTCCCTGCCATCTCTACCAGAGTGATGTCTCTGCACAGCTCCTGCTGCGGAAATAACCTGTGTTCTTCCATTCCAGCCCAAGGAACTAAGTGCCCCTGGGGTAGGATAGGGAACTTTTTTATAAATACACAAGGATGTGTGACTTGAATGCATCATTGCTGGTCAGCCCTTAGTCTAGGAGGAACCATGACAAATTGTTGAGTCTATGGACTCTGCTGATAATAGGGCAAGCAGCTAAGAACACTCAGTGTATGCCAAACAAGGTGTGAGAACCTTACTTACATGCATAAAGAGCCATAAAGAAATTAAGTAACTTTCTCGGAGTTACTGGCTAACAATTATCAAGCCTTTCTGATTATCAGTCACTGGACTGAAAATTTGCTTTTGCTCAAGTAACTTGTGAAGTAGGCATTTTATTCATATTTTATAAACTGGGACAATGAAGACCGTATTGAACCAGCAGCTTCAACTAATGGGCTGGTTGATTCCAGCTCTGTGGGATGTTAAGGGCTATGGGTCTAATCTTTTTCTTTCTTTTTTTTTTTTTACTGTACCTTGCAGCATGCAGGATCTTAGTTTCCTGACCACAGACCAAACCTGTGCCCCCTGAAGTGGGAGTCCAGAGTCTTAACCACTGAACCACCAGGGAAGTTTCAGGGCTATGATCTTAAACTCCTTTTTTTTCCCCCTCATTGATTTCCCAAGTTTGCCGTGTTGAGAAATTATTGAGTTGGGTTTCAAGCTTAATATGTCTGATTATCTAGCTCTCAAGTCTTCCATGTCGCCAACTTCACTTCTGGGAACATTGTGTGAACACAGGATCTTATGGAGAGAGAAGGAGATGCGAGAGGGGCGTGGGGAGGGGTGGGAAGGAGAGAGAAAGAGGCCGGGGTAGAGATAAAAAAGGAGGTCCTCCCCGGTGAAACCTGCCCTGATTTTGTCCAGCATAGTTCAGCAGCTGCTTTCTCTCAACCAACCAAGGCATCATTATGCCCATGTTATTATTTGAGGAAACAGATAGTACAAAGACAAAGTGAGCATCCCAAAGTCATGTAGCCAGAAACTGGCAAATCTGGGAATGTGGCTTCTGCTGACTTGTGCAGTGGTATTCTCCATTCTTGGAGCTGCTGACTCCTGGAAAACCAAGAAGAAAGCAGCATTGCTAATGCTGGCCCTGGTTGACGATTGAAGTAGAAGAAGAAATTCATAGTTATGATTCCCAGGGCTGTTGTTACTTCTGCTCTAAGCATACCTACCTCCTAATCTCAATTCTGATACACTTACACATATATTCACATCCTTGCCTATATACATAGGTTTCTATAAAATTGAGTAGGGTTTCTATTTTAGCTCTTTAGGATACTCAGATATGGGCATTTTATAAATAAATATGCGCTAATGTTGTTACCATTATTGCGGTCCCATAAATTCAGTGACACGTGCCGGAAGTTGCAGGTGTGTATATCACCTGAATTACAGTTACTTAGGGAACCACTGCTACTGTGTCCCTGCCATCTCTACCAGAGTGATGTCTCTGCACAGCTCCTGCTGCGGAAATAACCTGTGTTCTTCCATTCCAGCCCAAGGAACTAAGTGCCCCTGGGGTAGGATAGGGAACTTTTTTATAAATACACAAGGATGTGTGACTTGAATGCATCATTGCTGGTCAGCCCTTAGTCTAGGAGGAACCATGACAAATTGTTGAGTCTATGGACTCTGCTGATAATAGGGCAAGCAGCTAAGAACACTCAGTGTATGCCAAACAAGGTGTGAGAACCTTACTTACATGCATAAAGAGCCATAAAGAAATTAAGTAACTTTCTCGGAGTTACTGGCTAACAATTATCAAGCCTTTCTGATTATCAGTCACTGGACTGAAAATTTGCTTTTGCTCAAGTAACTTGTGAAGTAGGCATTTTATTCATATTTTATAAACTGGGACAATGAAGACCGTATTGAACCAGCAGCTTCAACTAATGGGCTGGTTGATTCCAGCTCTGTGGGATGTTAAGGGCTATGGGTCTAATCTTTTTCTTTCTTTTTTTTTTTTTACTGTACCTTGCAGCATGCAGGATCTTAGTTTCCTGACCACAGACCAAACCTGTGCCCCCTGAAGTGGGAGTCCAGAGTCTTAACCACTGAACCACCAGGGAAGTTTCAGGGCTATGATCTTAAACTCCTTTTTTTTCCCCCTCATTGATTTCCCAAGTTTGCCGTGTTGAGAAATTATTGAGTTGGGTTTCAAGCTTAATATGTCTGATTATCTAGCTCTCAAGTCTTCCATGTCGCCAACTTCACTTCTGGGAACATTGTGTGAACACAGGATCTTATGGAGAGAGAAGGAGATGCGAGAGGGGCGTGGGGAGGGGTGGGAAGGAGAGAGAAAGAGGCCGGGGTAGAGATAAAAAAGGAGGTCCTCCCCGGTGAAACCTGCCCTGATTTTGTCCAGCATAGTTCAGCAGCTGCTTTCTCTCCGCTCTCCCCAGGCTGTGAGAAGTTCGGGCAGACAGTCACCCAGGCACAGCGCAATCAATCTTCTCCCCGCCTTCCCACCTACCTGACTGTGTCCCTGCAGGCTGGGGCTGGGCTGCCTGCCTGGGGAGAGTCCCGAGACTTGCTGGGGGCTGAGCGCTCACCGAATGCTCAGGGAATCTTTTTGCGGTGAGTGGAGGTCTCTTCTCAATCTCAGGGACTCCACGTTTCCTGCTACCCATGAAGACTTTTCAGCCTCTTTCAGTCATTCATTCAAGTTAGCCCAGGATCAGGTATTTGTTCCTGTGGAACAAATTATCGCAACATTAGCAGGTTAAAACAGCCAACAGGTACCTGCTCACTTACTGTCTCAACCAACATTTATTTTCTGGGCCAGGGATCCGGGCACCATGTGACTGGTCCTCCAGCTCAGGGTTTCTCATGAGATTGCAGTGAAGTCGTCAAAAACCAGGGCTTTGGTCTCCTCTCCAGGCTCCGCTGGGGAAGGCCTTGCTTCCTGACTTCTTGTAAGCTGGTAGCAGGGGCCACCCTCCTTTCCCTGTTGCGTGGGCCTCTCTATGGGCAGCTCACAACAAAGCATATGGTTTCACCAGAGCAAGAAAGTGAGAAGAGCCAGAGAGTGTAAGAAAAAAGAAAGTCACAATCATCGGTACCTACCCTACTCTTAGAAGTGACATTCCACAATTTTGCTACAGTCCATTTGATGAATGTGAGGCTGTAAGGGGAGGGGATTACTCCTGGGTTCGAATACCAAGAGGCAGAGACCATTGGGAGCTCTTTTGGAAGCTGCCTACCTTGGTCCCCTTGCCCTCTTTGTGAGTGAAGTGAAAGTCGCTCAGTCGTGTCTGACTCCTTGAGACTCCATGAACTATATAATACAGTCCATGGAATTTTCCAGGCCAGAATACTGGAGTGAGGAGCAGTTCCCTCCTCCAGGGGGTCTTCCCAACGCAGAGATCAAACCCAGGTCTCCTGCATTGCAAGCGGATTCTTTACCAGCTGAGCCACCAGGGAAGCCCTCTTTCCTCTTCTCCTGCCCTCCTTCAGTCAGTTCAGTCGCTCAGTCGTGTCCGACTCTTTGCGACCCCATGGACCGCAGCACACCAGGCCTCCCTGTCCATCACCAACTCCCAGAGCTTACTCAAACTCATGCCCATTGAGTCGGTGATGGCATCCCCATCTCATCCTCTGTCGTCCACTTCTCCTCCCACCTTCAATCTTTCCCAGCATCAGGGTCTTTTCAAATGAGTCAGCTCTTTGCATCAGTGGCCCAAGTATTGGAATTTCAGCTTCAATATCAGTCCTTCCGATGAACACCCAGGACTGATCTCCTTTAGGATGGACTGGTTGGATCTTCTTGCAGTCCAAGGGACTCTCAAGAGTCTTTTCCAACACCACAGTTCAAAAGCATCAATTCTTTGGCAGTCAGCTTTCTTTATAGTCCAGCTCTCACATCCACACATGACTACTGCTTTTCTCCAAAGTCAGATCCTTATTTCATTTCAGGCAGTTCTAGACTTCAAGAATGATTTATCACCAAGCTTCGGGTTCTCAAATTCTATCCAGGATGCTCCTCAGCCTCCTCTTCGGTAAACATCCTCTGGTGTATTACAGAGTGTCTTTTGAAGAATAAGGTTTGTGCCTTTAACCCAGGGCCACTCCATGTCTCCCACTCCAGAGGGACAGTTGCAGATCTCATCCTTTGTCACAATGTCTTTGGACCCCACCCCTTGAGATTATGAAGTCACTGGAGATTATGCAGCACCCCCAGCACAATGTCTGGCACCTAGCAGGTACCTGGCCCATCTTTGTGGATGAAGTGAATGAATGAGGAGATGGTTCAGGTTTGCACAGGGCCAGAGGGGCTGGCCTGGAAGGAGTGGCAACATTATCTTGGATAAAGCTCACTGTCTGAGGCCATGAACCATAACTTCCTAGGTAGGAGCCTCCCTGCCTGTCTGGCTTCTTCTGCCTGCAGTTTACAAGTACCTGTAGCTCCTGCTACTCCAGTTTATGTACCTTGCCTTGTTCACCCTTGCTGTTCCCATTCTCCTGGCCCACATGCCCTGTTTTTCTACTTGGCTGACTTCCATGTTGCAAGCCTCAACTCTCAGGAACGGTTCTCCAAACCTGCACTGACCTCCACCACCATGGTGATCCTCTTGCATTAGTTTCTCTGTTCAGGGGCCCGCTGGCCCAGTGGGTACTGAGACCCCTAATGATGCTGAGCTCTGATCCCCTGCTCACAGAGCTTAGTGGAGAGTGGACTCTCAATAAATAGCCCTTGAGTGAGTGGATATCTGCTGTTATAGGCATGGAGACAGAGTCCACAGAGGGGAGAGGTTTTCTGAAGGTGGCTCAGTGAAAGGTGGAAGACCGTATTAGAACAGAGCTCTCTGCAGGCCCATCCTTGTCCCTAAAGACAAGGTCCAACCTAGTCCCTGGGCTGAGACCTCTTTGGTTCTCTAGGAGGTGGCATATTTCACCCAGCAGATTTGAAAGGTTTGGGTCCAGGACATCAGCCTAAAATACTGTGAGGCCTCTGTATGGAAATGTTTTTGGGCAGAAATGCTTTCAGGAACATTTTTTCTCCTCCCTCCTTTTTTCTTCTTTTATCCTCTTTTGTATTGTCTCCTCAAAGGTCTTAAGGCAAAGCTGTTTATCTCCAGATGGCTGCTTAAACACAGTGCAATGTGCTTTTACTGAAATGTTAGTGGTCTAAAGAGGAGGCGATGGGTTGGAAAACCAAGGAGGAAAATGCCCCTCTATGTAAAGAGTTGCAGGCAAGTGTGTTTATTCCAGTCAAGTTCCCAGGTGCCTAGCAGCCCAACTCCTCCATCCAGGAAAGGGCAGGATCCTCTGTCCCTCATGGAACCCCAGTTCCTTCCTCTCTAAGACTGAGGTCTGGGGTGGGGAGCAAGACCCTTGGTTTGAGAATCTGCTTCTTCAGGCCAGAGCTTCTTCTAGTTTCTTAGATTTGTAGGAGAGCCAATGGCAAACAAGCCCTGGTATAAAGAATAGTGATGCTTCTGGGGTCAGGTAGACCTTCGTTGAGTCCCAGCTTTGCCTCTGATTGTTTCTGTAGCTTTGGCAGCTCTGATCCCTTTGAGCATCATTTTCCTCATTTATAAACTGGAAATCATGGTGCTTAATTTAGAGGGTTGTTTTTAGGACTCAGCGAAACAGTGCAAGTCAAGTACTGAGTCTTGTTTCACAGTGGTTGCTCATGCAGAATCTCTTTCCTTTCCCTTTTCTCACGTTTGTGTGCCTTCCATGATATCCTCACCAAGAGGCTCCTCTGCCTGAGTTTTCCTTGCTTTAAGGCTAAATATCTCAGCTCTTTCACCTGCTGTCCTCTCCTGACCTAATCTCCAGTCCAGCACTGGTCACTCTCTTCAGACCACAGGCCACCTGTCTGTGCCCTGCTCAGAGCATCACCGAGACCTGAGTTATGTTACCAGCTCAGCAGCTTAGTAGGGCCGTGACCTTGAGCAAACCTTTTCTGCTCCCCAAGCTCCACTTCCCAGCTTCATAAGATAGGGATTCAAGGGATGCTGTAAAGCTGACTAATGGATGCAGAGAGCACAGCAGAGGCTTAGCGCATAGTAGGTATTACTCCTCTGTGTGTGTGAGAGCCTTGCTCTCGAGGAAAGTCATTACTCTTCCGGCCACATGATCTTTCTCCCACTTGTGACCCATCCTGAATGTACACAGTTATCTGGGTCCAATGGTCCGTTTCTATATTTATTGGTCTACATGTAATGATGATGATGGTGATGATGATGAAGCACACTACTGTGATTGAGCATCTACTATGAAATGTGTATTTTCCTATTTCATCTTTTACTGACCCTGTGGAGTAGATGTCATTCATATTTTATAGATTAGGACAATGAGACTTCCTGAAGGTCAACAAGAAAAAAAATGAAAGCAAGGTTCTCTACCTCCAAAGTCCCCACTCTTTAATCTACTGTACTTTACACTTTGCGCCTGTTTGTTGAGGTTGTTTTGTGGGAGTATTTGGATGTGGTTCATGTTGACTGTGTGTTGACATTGACCAACTTAGCTTCGTTGAACCCACCTAACATACAGTCATGTGAGCAGGTCTGACCAGTGCCACAGGAGCAGAATGCTATAAGATGTATCATCTTTACTATAGGGACAAAGCACCAGCATCTGAAATATGGGTTAAGGTAGGAAAAGTCAGCAACTGTCCCAAGTGGTGAACTGAGGAACACTGTCATGGGCGTTGGCACAGGTGGGATCTTGGTGGGCAAGACGACCTTGGGCAAGGCTGTTGTCTTCCTAGTAACCTTTAGCATGCTGGATTAGACAGACTCATCTAAAGCTGTTCCTCAGCCCTGCTTCTTGGCTCCATGATTATCTTCTACATGTGAAAGTCAATGACAGAATATGTGTTTGGAACAAAAGGATGGGGAACCTATTTACCAACTTCAGAACCAAAGGGTTGCCTTGGAGAGGAGAGTTGGAGACTGACTTGTGGACCTGTCGAGGAAAGGGACGGGTTCAGCTGGTTATCACTCTAGGACTAGATCTTTAAAATTTATTTTGTTGAAGTATAGTTGATTGTGGGCTTCTCAGGCAGTGCTAGTGGTAAAGAACACGCCTGCCAGGGATCAGGGTTCAATCCCTGGGTCGAGAAGATCCCCTGGAGGAGGGCATACATCCCACTCCAGTATTCCTGCCTCGAGAATCCCATGGACAGAGGAACCTGGCAGGCTATAGTTCATAGGGTCCCAAAGAGTCTGACATGGCTGAAGTGACTTAGCATGCAAACACACATAGTGTATTTTCAAAGTTGTGTTGGTTTCTGATGTACAGCAAGGTGATAACAGCTTATATATATGTGTGTGTGTGTGTGTGTGTGTGTGTGTATGTGTGTGTATACATGTTGTTTTTCATATCCTTTTGCATCATGGCTTATCACAGGTATTGAATGTAGTCCCCTCTGCTAAACAGTAGGGCCTTGTTGTTTATTCATTCTGTATGATAGTTTTCATCTGTTAACCCCAAACCCCCAGAACGTTCCTCTACCACCTCCCTCCCCCTTGGAAACCACGAGTCTCTTCTCTATGTCTTTGAGTCCGTTTCTGTTTTATGAATAAGTTCCTTTGTGCCGTGTTTTAGATTCTGCATATAAGTGATATCATCTGGTATTTGTCTTTCTCTGCCTGACTTGCTTTACCCCCTTCACTTCTCCAGGCCAAAGAACACACCTGCCAGGGATCAGGGTTCAATCCCTGGGTCGAGAAGATCCCCTGGAGGAGGGCATACATCCCACTCCAGTATTCCTGCCTCGAGAATCCCATGGACAGAGGAACCTGGCAGGCTATAGTTCATAGGGTCCCAAAGAGTCTGACATGGCTGAAGTGACTTAGCATGCAAACACACATAGTGTATTTTCAAAGTTGTGTTGGTTTCTGATGTACAGCAAGGTGATAACAGCTTATATATATGTGTGTGTGTGTGTGTGTGTGTGTGTGTATGTGTGTGTATACATGTTGTTTTTCATATCCTTTTGCATCATGGCTTATCACAGGTATTGAATGTAGTCCCCTCTGCTAAACAGTAGGGCCTTGTTGTTTATTCATTCTGTATGATAGTTTTCATCTGTTAACCCCAAACCCCCAGAACGTTCCTCTACCACCTCCCTCCCCCTTGGAAACCACGAGTCTCTTCTCTATGTCTTTGAGTCCGTTTCTGTTTTATGAATAAGTTCATTTGTGCCGTGTTTTAGATTCTGCATATAAGTGATATCATCTGGTATTTGTCTTTCTCTGCCTGACTTGCTTTACCCCCTTCACTTCTCCAGGCCCATCCATGTTGCTACCTTATTTT